TAATCACAGTTTAATATAAATATTCACATAGATGAAAACAATAAAAAATTCTTTGATTTATAAAAGTTGATACTAACTAATTGTTAATTATTCTTAATTGGATATTAAAATATTCGGCTCGATTGTGTGTAGTATGTTGAATCCTTTATGTAATATGCAAACTCGTTCAATGCCACAATAAACTAGAAACCTGGAGAACTGTAAAAAGTAAACTCACATTATTAATAAATTAAATTTAATAAAAAACTAAGACCATATACCTCTACGGAGTCATCATGCTTTGTGCTTATGCAAACTACAATGCGATCGCGAAGTTTTTGTTCCAAGTTTTGTACATTTAATGCTTCGAGTCGTGGTTCATCCAATTGCAAACCAACGAAGGGTATATTTATGCTGTTATCTACTCGCGCTCTAGCATATTCGTTAACACTACGTATATCCAAAGATATCATATCTTGTGGTGCGTACAATAGCAAGTGCACGAAGTTGTTGGCACTTATACGCGGGCTCATTTCCATTTGCAGATGAGTGAGTGTAACATCGGTACTAATATCCTGCAAATAAAAAATGTACAATTCTACAATATTTATAATAAAAATAGTTATTGAAGATGTTAATAAATTGATGACAAATTAATTGACTCGTATACTGGAATCACTGTTTAACGAAGGGTCTCATAAACGGGCAACTCTCTTAACCGACCAATATTGCTAATCCCTGGTTTTATTTTTTATACAAAGTAAGTTTCTTAAAAATGAACAGTTTTCTTAATCGAAAAGTATTTTTAGATCCGTCCATACCTTCTCAATAAAACTATACTTTGTATGAAAACTTAGGCATGGGGTTTAGGAGAGTTGACAAATGTTTCTGTACCGACACGAATAGAAAAAGAGAAATAATATATTTAACTGTCATAATCTTACATTAACAGGTATATGTAGCGAACTATTGCTTATACTCTTAGTATATATAAATGCCTGTAATAGTTTAAAATTATTGTTGTAACTTTTAAACTTACAAATTCTCCTAATTGTTTTGTATGCAGCATATGCGTACGTTGTGATACACTTTTTGGTGTTAGTTCATACATTTTCTGCGATTCCACTACACAATTTTCCATAACTATATCGGGCAAATCAGAGAACAGTAAAATGCACTCATTAAAACCTGACCCCAACAAAGTATTTTTAAGTTGCCGTAGTATCGAAATTCCGATGAATAATGGATATGAATTATCGCCAAGCATAAGTTTGTCCCACAAATGAAGGATTTTATGTAAAGGAAACACATCTGAAATATAACACAGAATATAATTATATATATATTAAATTTGATGACTGAAATACTTACGTGAAAACATTGTAAGGAACCAGGGTATAGCGAATAGTTCTGGTATAAAATTTATACTAGCTAAATGGCGTGCTAATATCGGTTCATGGAATGCGGTTAATTGGGAGAACTTACATAGATATTCTTTTATTATTGCAGAGTTATCCTTAAGGAAAAACCATTGCAAATATTTTGGTATAAATTTATAAAGACTAAGAAAGGCCAATTCTAAAAAAACAAAAGTTAATTTTTGCGCATATACCAAAATCGAGTACCTGTCACACCTTCGTTATTAAAATTTAAATATAAAAATGGTGCAGTTAGTGAATCTAAGCCTTGCCAGTAAACATAATATGGATGTGCCGTCACCCAAGCTTTAAGTAATAGTTTTAGTTTACGATGACCTGAAGGTGAAGAGAGTAATTCATCGTACTGATGACAACGCGGTATGTCTACTTCGATCTGTATATAAAATAAATTTCAAAAAAATAAATACAAAAATAAACTTTTATGGTACACATATGTATGCATCACTTACCTGTCGATCTGTTGACGTGGCTGTAAATTTATCGATTTTCATATAACTGCCATTAGGTATAACACCAAGAAGGCAAGCCCAAATTTGACCGCGCAGCAATGGTGGAATATCCACGGCAGCTTCTTTTAAAATTAAGTCGGTGGTATACGGGTAACCCTGAAATAATAAAAAAATAAATATAAATTGAACACCAATTTTTTTGAAAAGTATAAAGAAAAATAAATATAATAAATATATTATAAATAAAAATCTTAAATGTATACCTTTAACAACCTCGAAAGTAAGCGTACGCGATAAAATTGATATTCAATATCTTTTTCTCTAATTACTAATGGTAACTGCTCCATACCAGATCCAAAATTATATACAAGTTTTTTTGAATGTATAATGGGAAAATAAGCTAAGAAGGTTAAGTTGCGTAAACGTTCGATTAAGTTATTCAACTTTAGCGGCACAACGCGATCATCCATCAAATACGATTGACTACGTTTTGGACCAGCAATGCTGCCATTTAAACATACCACTTGTGGTATAGCTAAGATTGGTGCTTCACTTCGAATTAAACCTTCTTTCTTCAACTCGGCTTGCACATCACCACCGGCTAATTGCCAAAAATAGTATATCTGTTCCAGCGGACAACGTAGCAAACAAAGTTTTGGCTTTTCTGGCACTGTGTAGCAATACTTAGAGAGATTCTTTTGAAATAATGTGTGCGTTACGAGTATTTCAGGCAGTGGACGACCAGCAGGTTGAAGGCATAAACAACTGTCAACAGCTTCACGTAAATGTACATCTAACTGTTGATATAACTCCAGGCAATCATGTTCTCGTGATATTTTCTCAAACACAGAGTTTGACTGACAAAATGATAGTATTTTACGTGATATGGCCGAAATTTTTAAGTTTGGCCAGAGTGATTGTTTCAACAGCAATTCAGCTACAATCATACCCAAGGACCAAATATCACTTTTTATATTATTTTTCCCACCAACCAAGCGCTCTGGTGGCATATATTTTATGTTACTGCGAACAATAAAAATTTATTTAATTTATTAATAAAATATATGTCATTCCTACCCTATGGGAAAAGGCACATATTCGCCACCGTTTGTCATATAAAATAAACCATAATTAAATAATTTTGCATTATCCCATTGGTCCAATAGTATATGCTTTGGCTCTAGATTGTGCACAACTAATTTGTGTTTGTGTAGCTTTTCAATGCCACGAGCGACTTGATAAAAAATACGCACAATTTGCTCTTCACTCAAATTACTATTTTTCGATTTATCTTGCAATGTGGTGCCGAAGTATTCTGACACAACGATTGTACGCTCTGAAAGAGATTAATTTAATCGTTCAAATTTAAGTCGCTTTGATTAATGGGCGGTGTATAATTACCATGTTTGCCACGTATGATGTCGATGTATTGGCACAAGTTCTCATGATGCAATTCCTTCAAACGCTGTGAACGCCCTAATATTGCTATAGAATTCGGTGTCAAAGGTAATCCTAAAATGTTTTTGATAATAAAATTGAAAATAGTAATTCGATATGAACTCGTATTCAAAATACAGAAATAAATTTTAGATGATATTGCCTACATTTCTTATAAAGGAATTAAGATAAAATATTTGATTCTTATTATTTCGATCACTAGAAATATAAAACTTTCACAAACCATTACTGCCACAAACATCACCAGGATGTGTTTTGGCAAAGAATGTTGTAGCTGCTAAACGTGTTTCTGGCTTAGCCGCAGAAGGGCTCATCCTTCCTGCTAATCCAAACTGTTAATTAATTAATATAAAATCATAATTTTTAATAAACAATTGGTTAACTGAAATTACTGTGAGTAAAGTATTTACATTAACTTTCTCAGTTTATGGGAATGATATGGAGTGGAACAGTAAATGCAAAAAAACATATGATTTCGGCTCTACCCAATATCGACAGTGTTGCATTTTTGATATTTTATTCTAATAATTACGCAAGTGAGTGCAAATATTATAAAAATATATATTGTATACAGAAATTATATATACATGATTATATATTTATTTATAAATATTGAAAGTAATTAATACTAGTTTTTATGAAATAATGAAAAAGTTGTATTAAGTCTAACTAGCCGAAGAACTGCACTAATGGATTATTTATATTCAGTGTCACACTAATACTAATTAAGCATACGTAATTAATATGCACACATTTTCAACCGTAGAAATATTGTCAAACACAAGCGTTGCAAACTGTTTCACAGTTGAGATATGTTGAACTATGCACTTATCATATTTTCAACATTTTCCACCTGTTAATATTACAACGGGTAATTATTTAAGTTCCACTGGGCCTTAACTAGCTTTACGAACCCTTAGCAGTTAAATAATAGCATTTTTATATTTCGAACTTAAGTGTACGAACTTTACTAAAGTTGATTCTTAAACGTCAAACGCTTACATTAGGTCTGTTCCACAAGCCTAAACTCGTAGTAAAACTTAAGTAAAACACAAGTAAAGTACAAACTGAGAGCGTAACACAAATAAAATGTTGGCACTTTACACTCTTTACAGCTTTGTGTAAAATCTGATGAGAACACAAGTGCCGCGCAAATAAAGAACACAAAAATTTGAATTCGAACCAAAATAGCTGATTCACACATCAACACAAATCTTACTTGAAATAAAATGTACGAGCAAAGACTGTGTAGCATTTTCAAATTTCAACAGGAACGGTACGCTCTCTCAGATACTCTCATTTACTCGAAAATTTATTGGTGGAACGCACTTGTGTATAACCAGTGTTACTCAAAGTTACTATGAGTAGCTCGTAGAACAGAGCTATTATTTGCAACTATAGTTTGCGGTAGCGTACACTCGATTGTGCCAAGAACGAATTAAAAAAGAAAATAATTTTTTGTGTGTGTTTTTTATGTTTCCCTAAATTAATTAATTGATTTTGAAAATTGTAGCGAAATAGTTGCAAATCGTATTAATATCTAATACTAAATTTTCTTTATTAGAAAAATTAAAATACGTAATTTGTTAAATACAACTCGTTAAAATACAACTCTGGCTGAGGGTATCGTGTGCGTAGTCACACATTCTACAAAATCTTCTATTCTTCACTTTATATTTCCGCTTAGCAATTTTGTTCATTTCATTTCTGCTGGAGTTAAGGTGTGGACGTGTTTTAATTGTAAGTATTTCTATTGGGGGAAAAATGTGCTAATTTACTTAATTGAAGTGCAATAAGTACAAATTTTGTCTCAATCAAATTTTTTTTTATTATTTTATATTCGATCTTTATTATTGCACGTGTTTAAATATTAATTTGCTATGATGATAAATTTCATAATTCCTTTTGCGGTTTCCACCAGAAGAATTTTTTCTAAAAATTCTGAAGATGGCTTTAAGGTGTCTGAAGAAAATAATCTACATGAATTTTCTATTTTTATCTATTTTTAATTTGTGTGTAAAAATTGTATTTCTCCTAACACGTTTTTTTTTATGCAAATAGAAAATGGCGCATAGATACGCAACACGTGGAAAAATACCGCTTAATGGAGGATGACTTTTAATACCGGTAAGGTAAAGCGGAAATTCATATTCAATTATTTTTTAAATACAATATGATGATAAAAGATGACGAGACTGAGATTAATATTTCCATGTTTTTATTTTGTGTATTTTTCACGAAATTAAAGCAATTATAATGTTAATCGTAGATGATACGGCAGCCTGACTTACATAAAATAAATTTATCATCACAATAGTGATTTTACCAATATTAAAGTAATCTTATTTTGCAGCTACTTTTATATAATTGGATACATTAACCAAACTTAATTACTACCAACATTGACTGAATTGCATGGAAGGCTACCAAAAATAAAAGTAAGTTTGCTTTTAAATTTGTCTTGGGGCAGGATTGATTTTGTGATGAATAAAATAGACCTGTACTGAAAATTTTTGATAGAAATGTCATCTGATTAGACTAAGAAAATTTTTTTTAAACCAAAGTAAGATTTAAAGATGTTTAATCTATATAAATTTTTTATTTGCAGTGCAATACGGTATATGACTACATTAAAGTCTTGGCGCAGAACCAACGTAAAGCGACAGCCCATCAAGTTAGTACCACTTTATTTGTTTTAAATAAACCTTTTTTTTAATTTTATTATGATGAACAAATACAGACCTGTACTTAGTAATTTTGTGAAAGAAGTAAATCACTGATCTTAAATTAATATTTATATATATAGTATGAAATGCGGTTATAAAAGTTTTAATAAGATTGCATTGTATTTATTTCAGCACAATCGATGGATATCTGAATTGTTCTCTTGGTCGGACTACTATAATTAAGGTAATTATTGGTTTTAACTTGTATGTAATTGTTATATTATGCTAAAATGATGATACAACATGGCTTTCCTTTTGCGGTTTCCACCAGAAGTTAGCTAGTGATGGTTATGGACGTCTGATTTATAAACGTTCATAATTTTATGTATTTAAAATGAATATTGATTGGTATACTTATAAGCTCTTCTTATTATTTGCAGGTACTATCTATATCAAGTAGTGCTTGGATATATGTAACAACAGTACTATGTCGTTAAATTTACATGGCAGGGAAAGCTGGAAGTTAACGTATGAGAATTATTGGTTAGTATTTTACATTTATTAAAATATATTTATAAATTTAAAAGTGATGAAACCTTTTTACCGATCTGCAATGAGGATTAAAAACTAATAAAGCTCAATAGGACTGAAATATTTTATTTAAATATTAAAAATGTCGTTTTATTGCAATATTATTAATATATTATTATTTTTTTCTTCTTAGATTTGACACACTATTGTGTGTATTGTGATAGCGAAATGACGCATATACAAGTTTATTAGCGACATTCAATTATAGAAATACAGCTTTTACTTAAAGGTAAATATTAACTTCATAAATAATATCAATATTTAAAATTAAGAAAGTTAAAATGATGATTCCAAATGGCTTTCCTTTTGCGGTTTCCACCAGAAGTTTGCTAATGACGGTTTAGGACGTCTGATTCAAATATGCATTATTTACTTTTATTATATATACTTAAAACATTGTTTTTATAAATGTTTATTTCTTGTTTTTTTCAGTTTTGCTATTGATTCAGTGAATCTTATTTTACTCTGATGAAATGATAGGAGTTAAACGCTATTGACTTGAGTAACAAAACACTTAAAGGAAGTAGTAAAAACGGTTTCTAGTTGAATATAGTACTAGTTGCAGTAATATTCATAAGGCTTACAATGATACTGATGCTGAAACTATGGTTATGATTTCGGAGATAACCAGGGGATTGATAAAAATACGTCAAAGTCTACTAATGAGTAGCGTAATTTATTATACACTTGATTAAATGTTACACAGAGTATTATCTGCAATAAATGTTATATACAATTTTATACAATGTGAACAATTTAATATCGGCTGGGAATATATAGCAAGCAGGAGTGAAGATAACTGCAAAATTATGTAGGTTTAATAGTAACAAGGACGAAATTTTAGTTATATAGAAAGTAATTTTTGGAGATGTATATTCAGTAACTTTGTTAATATGGTTTAAAAATAATTAAGTTTTTTTTGTTTGTAACAACGAAAGTTTTTAATATAGATTATCCAATTTACGCATTTTGCTTTTTACTACTAAAATGTACATAGGGTTGTATTTACACAAATTCTGCGTGTTATTTAAAATGGCATAATAGGTTTGTGTCTAGAATTTATTTTTTATACAATATACACAACAAATTGGTTTATACATAGAAAGAATTAAACTAAAAAAATAACTTCATTATATTTAATTAAATTCATATTAATATTATTTATTACAATAAATGAAACAAGCTTCAAAGTAGACGTAATTTGAATGCGTTTAATTCCATTCACATCAAAAAGTTTTAGTGATTATTTTGTAATCAACTTACTATTGGTTTTAAGATAACCAAAGCTTGTATTTAAAACAATTTCAGTAGTGAAAGAGAAATTTTTTATCTATTAAGCAGTCATTTTTATCTTATTAAGCAGTCATCGTACATTAACAATGAACAGACATATAACGGGTTCAAGAGTAAACGCAAAGCATATTTTGGTAAAGCATAGAAGTTCTTGTATAAGAACTTGTCACTTTGTTAAGTTACACATTTAGAAAACAATCTCTAGAAATGTAAGTCGGAGACTCACGTTAACTACTTTTAATTACAAAAAATATATAATTATAACATATATTTATATATATACTTTAATACATAAAAATTATAACTAGTTCAAGTTGCAACATTGAGTGCAATTTTTATTATTTATTTCAATAAATAGTATTAATTGATATACAAATTGCAATAAATGCCATACAATTGTTGCAGACTTATTGCAATACTAGATTGCCGTTTAGTTTTAGGATTCTATAAGAATTTGTAAGAATTAAACACTGAACACACTGTATAAGGTATTAAACATACCTTAATAATATCCAAAGCTGTTTTTGATATTTGCCATTTCATTTTAATTTCAAATAATCATTGCCAGATATTACTTAATTCATATGCCTGTTTGGTTAATTCGCTACAAATCCTAAAAATATTCATAAAAGAAATTATACTGCGTCCTTGTTATTAATTTATCAGTTTCTATATGAAATACTAGCTTTTTAAAACAATTTATATTGAATTTGTAAAATATAAATAAAACAAAGAAATTTGACCTTTGGTTAAATAACTAGCTTGATCATCTATTTGAGTTAAATGCAGAAAAACAAAGTCAGTTTCAACAACGCAACATATATAAACATAATCCTTTAAATCATATCGAAATACGACGTTTTATTCTCAAGTAATCAAACCCTAGTAATCTGTATAGTATAGATCAGGGCTGTCCAGACCCGATGCCATCGCGGGTAAATACAAATCACTATACAGATTGGAGGGCCGCAGAATAAATACATACGTTTATAATTGTTTTCGATAAAAAATAAAATTTAGTTTTATTAATTTATCAATTTAAACTCATTTATTTGGTATACCATAAATATTAAATAATGTGATTATACCAGTACACCAAAAGAAAATTTTCGTAATTGTCGTAAATTAAAAACATATCGCGGGCTGCGCAAACATTAACGAGTGTTAATTTGAACAGCCCTGGTGTAGATAACTGATTTAACAGTTCGAATCTCGCGGCCAGTGTGAATGCCATATAAGTTAATTGGTCTAACGAACTCGGTGGAAACGTACTGTAATTCAATAAGAAATCGGCTTAATTATACCAATTCGTGAGAATTTTTAAATGTATGCACTGAACGTACTCCTGTACTAAAAAGCTAAGTAAATATTATGTGTATGTCGTGTTGTAGAGAAAATAATTCGTTTTTGATATTATTTAGTGTAACGTTATTAGAAAATTATTAATTATAAATCGAACGTTTATATAGTTAGTTTTAATATTGTGAAATTTTAATATTGCAACTTTGGCAGAAGCGTACGGCATGACATTTTCTGACATTTTGAGTTACGCGACAGTGGGTAACCCCGTTAGTAAGAAAATTGGTGAAATGTTTAAAGATAATGCAGTAAGTTTATATTTATAAAATATAAAAGTAATCTTATATTTCTTTTATAATATATAGAACGCTAGTTCTACAGTAAAAACTGTAGTCAAAGCTACAGCTGGGGTTGTAGAAAAGCCGCTCCAAAGCTTGCCACCATTATGGAGCCTTCTGGGTCGTAACAAGACTATTGTAAAAATTGCCGGTTTAAGTGGGGCAGCTGCAGTTATTATTGGTGCAATTGGTTCACATTCGCATTTTAATGGTCCAGAAGAACAGGATAACAAATTGCTTTTTGAAACCGCCAACCGTTTTCACTTCTTCCACTCGATTGTATTGCTATCAGCTCCAATAGCTAAGTACCCTGTAGTGGTATGTAATGATATGTTTTAATCTCTTATTTTAATAAAATATTTATTCTTTTAAGACTGGATCACTTATTGGAATCGGCACATTGTTATTCAGTGGTGCCTTGTATTACCGTGCGTTTTCAGGCAAAAGTCTTGTGAAAATGATGGCACCCTTTGGCGGTACTTGCCTTATTATGGGCTGGTTGACATTTATGTTGTAAACAAATAATTTTAATATAATAATTACGAAAGTAATTTAGTATGTAAGTGCACAAGGCATTTTAATATAACAGACATGAAAACAATTATTTTGTTTTAAATGCACTTTTACAAGTTTGTAAATGTTAAACACAAATAAATATGATTGATTTTTAAAAAGAAGTTAACTTTATATTTACATTTATGGTCAAAGCGATTTTTTAAATTTAAATATAAATTTTGAACTAATTTAGACTATCGTAAAAAGAACTTTTGGACAAGTTAAATTTACACTTTAAAGTAAAACAATAGTATATGTTTGTTTTATTATATAATTATAAAAATTATATATTACATTAATGTACGCTTTTATTTACGCTTATTTGGTTAATTATACTCCTATATATGTATAACTATGTGTATTATTTATACTATTCCCTATTCAAGTGCTGCATAAAAATATTCAATTTTCAAAAATAGTTAAAAAAACTATGTTAATTTGAAAAGTTTTTTAATTCAATACAAAATGAGATAATGAACAATAAAAAAATATTTGTCTATTTGTGTATTCGTAATAAAATATTTGTACCTATTCAAGTGCGTGGCAGTGTATGTAATATGAAGTTGTGTTCAAGAGGCTATCTTTCATGTCTAAACCTTTTTATTTAAGTTGATATTAAATGTAATAAAAAAAACTCTACGATAATCATGTAGAAGAGTAAATGTTAAATTAATGAAAGTATACGTTTCTAGACAATCCATATAATGGATCTCTTATCGTCTGAAATAGCATTCAAGAACGTGAAAAAGAACGATAGATACTGAAGTTTTCGTCACACACTATACATTAACCATAGTCAAGCTTTTATAATATAAGATAAATAATTAATTAAGTTTGTAATAGACTAAGAGCCAAAGGAATGGTAGACTCTTTATGCTAAACGCCAAGGTAGTGGAATAAAGAATAATTGTACATATAGTTATAATATAATGAAATCGTGTACTAAGATTTTATAAAAAACTTAATTTAATTTTATAGTATCTGTTTATTTAATAATAATAACTTCAAAAATGTATTGCAAACATAACTGTGTTATATATTTGTTATAAGACACATTAGCAAAAAAGTGGGCCTATCGGGTTTCGCAATTTTTTAATAACTCACTTTTGTAATTGAATTTCCTTTACATACATAATGAGTTTATTGCCCTGCCTAAATGCTGGGAGTTTAATATCAATATCGAAAAGTCTACTGATACCACATTTACCACGATAAATAGAAATTACCAGTGAAAAATATCCTGGCATGCATTTGGATAGAAGACTACAAATAGAATACTATAAATAGAGTCTCTTTTATAAAATTTCCATATATAAAGCTATATAAAGTATTTATTTGAAAATATGAAATACATTTGGATTCCTTATGTGCATGTGCATTAAATCTTCGAAATTCTCCTATATAAAGTTATTAAGGCATTAACCTGGACATACAATTGTAGGACACATCTTCTTTCTTCTTTAGTTGGCAATTACAGATGTGAGTCCTTCTTGGCTCGTCGAGTAGCCTCCACCAGTCAGACCGATCAGTGGCTTGCTATCGTCAGTTGGTAGGACCGAGAACCTAGGGGCACATCTAGCACATCTAAATCATGATTTGAACTCAAAACCTTTACTTGCGCAGGCTCTGAACGTAAAAATAACATATGGTGTTTTACTGATAAATTTATTTTACTTTAATTTTAGTTTATTTATCTATTCTTTTAGAAATTATAGTAGTCACATAAGGAGTTAGGAGATCTATTTTTGTGTAATAAATTTTTTTTTAATTAACAATATGTCTTTATTGAATCGCTTTAAATTAAACTCTGATGATAGAATCTTAAAGATTATAACATTATATTACAAATTATTTTATATAAACATACTATAATGAAATATACAATGATTTGTAAATTATTTTAAGGGGCCTCTGAATAAGTAGCCAGGGCTTATTTACCAGACATCACGGCGTATAAGTTGAATTAATCAGGGTCTTCAGGATCTTTAGGAAAGCAGGCTTACGGGTCTATCATTCCGTTTCAGTCTATAAATAAGATTATAACATTTATTTATAATGTTGGTTAGTCGTGCGTTTAGAAAAATGTTAAATTTAAGATGGTGTATGAGGTTCAGAAAAGGATGTCGTCCTAGGCGACCATTTAACCATAGCAGTTACACAAATTATATTTTGTGGTACGGAAAGAACAAAATATACTGATGTCTTTGCTATTAAGCGTTTTAACAGATTCCATATCATCAAATTTTACGTTACTGAGATTTTCTAAATTTTTTAGATTAGGGGGTTCGATTAAAATAATATTTATCTTGGTACATTTACCCTTTAAAATTTGTGTAAATATTTTAAAAATATTTTTTTTAAATTTATGAAAACATATGCAAATTAAAATTCGGTATCAAATGAATTTCAATTTAATGAAATAAAAGACTTAAAGATATCTACAAACACACTCGTATTAATACAATAAAACATCTGCATAGAAGAAACCATATTTAATTATTATATTTATAAATATTATAAACATTTTATTATAAACAGAACAATTCTCATGAACAAGGTTTCAATCGAAGAATGCGAATTTGATACACCTTTCGTAATGAAGTTTTCCAAGAATCTTTATAGAAAATATGGTTTACGTTTTAAACGTGGCAGATGGTAATTTGATATGATATACATCCATTCATCATTCCTTAATATTTTATGTACTAAGTCCTCTACCAGAATAGGATAATTTAATTCTTGATCCTAGATAAAACTTTAGTCTAACTTACAGAATAAAAATTTTAATTTAGACGAACTAGTCGCTTAGAGTATCGTCTCTTTATTGGGTATGTGGGTCTCATACGTTTATATAAAAATAAAGTTTATTGAGAAATTCTGTTTGTAGAGATTTAATACTATTTTCTTTATCTTAAGATTATAATTTTTTAATAAATACATGAAAGCGTTGAATAGATATATTGGATTGTTTAAATTTTAGTGCTAATATTTTCTTATCGTATACGAAATTTAAGTTGATTAAAGAAAATTATTACTAATGCCATAATAACGATGATGTTTCTTTGGATTCATGTAGTTTATTTAATAGATTGGCATATCCTTAAACAAGTATAAATAGTACGCTAATATAGGCGTGGTCAAGAAGTGGTGTAGGCACTTTCATGTAAATAAAGTTTGTTTCAGTTTCTATTGTTCTATTATTTTTATTACTGCAAAAGACTATTTAAAACAATATATGCCTAGACTTTTATCATTATTCCATCACATTTAGGGGAATGTAATATACCATGATAATCTTGTTTTATGATAGTTATTATTTCCACAGTTTTGTTCAAATATCTATTATGCTAACATTTATGAAATTATTTTACTAAAAAAGGTTCTCACATTTAACTTTATTTATTATTGCATAAACTATGCTATGCTATGCCCGTACCTTCATTGTCGATACATCACTTAATGATGGACATTCTTATATAAGTCTCCTTTTTATGGATATATCTATATCCATGTATATGATTATAACGGTTTGTGAAATGGAATAGAAATCTATGAAAATCGATTTTCGTATATACATATAGATGATATCGTCATTGGTCACGATGATAATAAAGATATTAATCACTATATGTTAATAATAATTTCGGTATTAATGATGCTTTTGATGTGAACGATGGTGAGAATGACGATGTTTAGAATTAGTAATAACTATGAATAAACTAATGATGGTTATGGTGATGCTGGAAGTAATAACGATAATAGTGATGATAATGTTGATGATTACAAGAAATAATGACGATCGTAATAATAATAATTATTATTTTGATATTGACAATGATGAACATATGTATATGTAACGATAACGAAGATGATAATGCTGATAATGATTAGGATGAAAGTGGTGATGAGAATGTAAATGATGATGACAATGATGGTTTTGGTAATAGTAATAATGACGGTAGTGATAATGATAACAATAAGAGAATGATGTTGATATTGGTATTGATAATTGATGGTTGTTTAAAATCAATATTTAAAATATAAAGATTTGAAAAAATTATTTTCAAAATTATAAATGATGATAATGAGAATTAAGATCTGGATGACCAGTGATGCTTTCAGTGGTGATTATAACACTGATTATTATTATAGTGCTCATGGTAATGATTATGTAGTTGTTGCTATAACCCGTGGGAATCTACAGAACATGATTATAAAAGAATTACAAGATGAATATATAAAAGTGGGATTTGTGGTAAGGAAAGAGCTGTGCGTGAAAATAGTTGTTTCGGATGGCGAAGGTTCGTTAAGAAACAGACTGCCGCCTACTCAGAACACCAAGTACTATACACCCCATCCAGAAAAGACAATACCAATAGGTAAGTGTAATGATTGTGTTAATAATATGATATTTATGATAATGATAATTTATAAAAAATTAATTAATTATTGCTGTGTGCAGCAATAAAAAATAATACTAAATATTGTATCTTAGTTTATTACTATAAAAAATTCATTAACCTCACTTTATCATGCGTTTTACTAGCATTATGTATCAGATTAGTTACAGTGCGCAAAAATTGTTATTGTTATTGTTTTTGTTGTTGTTGTTTTCAAATTTAATAAAATTTAGGCTAAATTCTGAAAACAACGAAATCAGTCTACTTTTTTTTTCTACTTTTATGTCTTTTGTAAGAACGTTCATGTGATGTTTTCATATGAAGAATCTTATTTCCAGATATATATATATTTAAATATGTATGTAGAATTAACACAAGATGATTTAAATATAAATAAAATTAATGCAAAACACTTTACTTGTTTGAATTAATTTGAATTACAATATTTTTGTAGAAATTTTTTTGTATTTCTTTTTGTTTGCTTTTTTTTTTTTTTTGAAATTACGTGCAAATATAAATTATTTACTCTTAAGTGCAATACTTCGCATCTCGTCTTTGTGTTTTATAATCTTGAGATATAACAATATCTCGTCGGTAAGGCGAGACTAGTGTCTCTATCTAATGCGAAGTTAAAATTTGTTTGCTTGCAAAATAATAAAAACTTTTACTTGTTACTTGCTATACATTTTTGTCATGATTTCTGGAAATGAACCTGACAA